TTGTGGGATATGGTTTTAAGCATGGAATTTGGTTATGTTAATTTGTAATGATTTTTCGTTGAATAATCATGCTAAATTTCAGAATTTTTTTTTTTTTCTGTGACCCAAATATTTTCGGCAGCCAATTTGGCTGTCGAAAATGTTAGATTTTTTTTAGAGACATAATCGACAGCCAGTTAACTGCCGAATATAAGTATATTCGTCAGTAATATACTGACGAATATACTTATATTCGACAATCAGATGGCTGTCGAATATGTTTAGCTTATTTTATCAAACATAATCGACAGCAATTTTACCGTCGATTATACATGTAATCGACAGTCATGCCTGTCGGTTATATATCATAACCGACAGATATAATTTCTGTCGATTATATGAATTTCCGACTCTCATTTTTTCGACAGAAATTACTGTCGTTTATGTCTGTCGGTTATACTATAACCGACAGAATAATTGTTATTATCGACAGTATTGACTGTCGAATATACTGCGTTTTCTAGTAGTGGCTGTTGCAATGTGCCCAACGGAAAGGTAAAAGGGGACACCCTCAACATATCATCGAGGGAGTGTAAATTATTTGAGGGAGTCCAAAGGCATAGTGAAACACGGTGGAAACCTCGTGATGAAGGGACTGTGAAAATTAATGTTGATTGTGTTGAATAGTTTGTAAATATTAACATATCACATCAACAAAGAATGAGAATTTAAAGAAATTTATAAAGATCTACTTATTATCAACATATAATTTAATAAAGTGAAACTTAAGGCTTGTAAGCTTTGAGTTTGGGTCTTGTCCCTTCTGTATACAATCATTTAGACGGGTACTTGGGTCATTTTGGGATTTTTATTTTTAATTTTAGATTTTTTATTTGAAATTGAAAAAACATGTTTAAAATTCATGTATAACTTTTAATAGTCAAAAGATTATCTCTATGAAATAGTATTTTTCTATAAGGATATATTCCTACAAATAATGACTATTCAGGTAATATAACTTCTTTTACAAAAGTTTAAGTTTTATACCTAATTTTGAGAGAGTTTCTAAATTTTATTATATCTTGATAAATTTTTGAACTCTTAAAGAAAGTAAGATCACACATCAAAACTTTCTTATTCTACTATTTTCTTTATCCTTTCTT